CCCCTATCCCCATTCGTTCCCCCAGCTCCCCGCTTGCTCTTCCAGCCCCCCCCGCCCGGCAGTAGCAGAGAAGGTGCAGGAGGCTGGAGAGAGCAAGGGAATGTCTCCAGTTCATTTCCAGGGGCTTGTCTCCAGCCCCCAGCTTGTTCCCCTGTTCGTCTCCAACTCCCCTTAGCTGCAGATCTGGGAGGAGCCAGGCAGCGTTATTTTGCCCCAAGTGGCACTCCTCCCAAGGCTGGAGACGAGCAGGGGAATAAGCTGGGGGCTGGAGACAAGCCCCTGGAAACAAGCTGGAAACATTCCCTTGCTCTCTCCAGCCTCCTGCACCTCCTCCGCTACTGCCAGCACGTGTGGGGGTGGGGTGGGGGGGCTGGGAGAGCAAGTGGAGGGCTGGGGGAATGAACGGAGAATTGAGGAAGGTTCCCTCCCCTCTCCTCCTGGCCCCCAATCCCCTACTTACCTGGCAGAAGCCGGGTCCAGGTCCCTGCAGCTTGCACTGCTGCCTGCCCCGCAGAGGCAGGCAGCGTGCTTCAGGACTGGGGAAAGGGTCAACCACAGAGACACTCTGGCAGGCTGCCAGAGCGTCTCTGTGGAGGACTGAGCTGCTGTTTTTTTCCTGTCGCCATTGTTGTTTTTTCCCTCCGGGGTATTGTTTGACCCCTGGATATCCTGGGGTCTAATTTTGCTCCTCCACTGCAAATTTGCAGCATGGGGAACGTTTTTTTGTTTGCACACGTGCCTCCTGCAACATCTCAAAGGGGTTTGAGACGCTGCAAGAGGCACGTGTGAGCTTGTCTGGACGCACCAAGTCAGTGTCTCAAAGTAAGATACTGACTGATCAAATGATCTGGAACTGTAAAGGGGAAAAAATGTACCATAAATGGTATCAAGTTTTTTTCCGGACATTAGTTTAAATACTGTTACAAATAACATAGTCTGTGTTATGTAACTGATCATTTGGAACCTGTGACAAACATGAAATCTGACTTTCATCACAAATGAAAATCATTAGGGGTGCACCAATAAAGGTTTTCTTGGCCGATACTGATAGCTGATGATTAACCAACCATATAAGCCAATGCTGATAGAATAACCAATATTTAGTAAGAGTGCAAGGCATTGTAAACTACTGACATAAACAAACATTTTATTTTTAATTTATATTTTACACACACACACGTGCTTCCTGCCTCTTCTGGCCCTCAATGAGGAAGGTGGAGACTACCTTATTCCCATGCACGTTGCCTCCTTGTACATGGCTCCTACTCAGTTCCGCTCCCTGTGTACCCTGTGCTGCCATCCCATTAGACAGGACCCTCATGCAGACAGCGGCACTGGGCAGATTTGGAGCCCCAGAGCACACCACTGCTTCAGCGCTGGCAGCTCCTGTGCAGTTGAGATCCCGCGGCCACTTGGGAGAAGCTGCTTTTGCAAATGCAGCTGGTGCCTGGCTGAGCAGAATGTCTCTTGTGTGGCACCTTACCCCACCCACGTGCAGAGATGTGGGGCAGAAAATTTTCCAGTGCTTTATTTTTCCATGGGAATTTTCCATTTCTAAACATGGAATAATTAATGGATGCCAATACAATATCAGGCAAGCTTGGTAGTTTCGAAGTTGTAATTAATGTTTTTTCAGGTGATTATCCCTAGGAAGTGAGAGAGAGAGTACATATATGTTTTACTGATTTATAAACAGGAGGGTAAATATACTCACATCATAATCCAAACAAAAAAAATCAAATGATGAATTAACCTAATTGGCAGTGCAGGTCAAATCAAAACCAAAGCATAGCATATCAGACACAGTTCTTTGGGTGTGCTAAAATTAGTGTTATCAGCTTTCAGTGCCTTCGTTTTTTTTCCCTTAAATTTAAACAAACAATGCAAGGGAAGTGCATGCTATTGTGTATTGTCTTTGCATTTTTACAAGTAGTCCACAAATAATTTCTTTCCACATAAAGCTTTGAATATAACATTGAAACCACATTAAGAAAAAAATTAAATGCAGCACACTTAAATCAAATATTTGAGTTCAAATACTTGTGGCTATTGAGACATAAAATTAACAGGGTGGGTGCTTTTTCAGTTTTGTTTACTAAATTTGTCAGATAAAACATGCTACATCAAATCACACTGTGTTTGAGGCATTGGAAAATTTTCCAATTCAAAACTTCCCAGAAAACCCACATCTCTGCCCATGCACAGTCAGCCTTCACAACAACCCTGATGCTCAGGCCCCTGCTGCATGCATGGCATTGCCAGGGCAGTGGCAGCAGCAGCTGGTAACAGTCCCTTTGTTGCTGAATAAAGCACCATGTGACCTCTCCCTGGCAACTCCTCCTGCTTGCCAGGACCTGTAGTCTGCCACAGGCTTGGGCTGATTGCAGGGCGTGAGGACCAGACTACACTTGGTAGGGTGCTCCAGGCATGCGGCCATAAATTAATCAACCACAACAACCAAAAAAAGCCAGTGATGTCATTTTGCCTTTTATCATTGCCAATCTGATAACCAACCTAGATATCAGTGCACCCCTAAAAAATCATTACCATTTTCAACATAACTTTTATCCAATGAAGTAGAGAATTACTTAGGTGTTCATCTGAAGCGAGATCTACAAGGGCAGGACTCAAATCATTAGAATGCTTTATTGACAACTCTCCAGCACTCAACCACAAACATAGCCTAATTCTGTATACAATTAGAGCTTAGTTTTTTTTCAACAGCATTTTATTGGCAGTGGAAAATGCTTCAGTACTTTATTGAAAGAAAGCAATAAATAATACTGTGATAAAAATAGTCCAAAAGTACTTAGGCTGTACATATTTTGTTACACAAATCAGAAAATACATAAAAGATTAATAGAAAAACAGAATAGTAGCAATAAATCTCAGTTGTACAAGTAAATTAAAAGAACAGAAAAAAATAAGAAAAAAAAGACATGCTATATATTGTTGCATAATAAATAATGCACCGTGATCTGAACACATTTCCTGCTGGCTTTTTAACGTGCCATTTAAAATGGATACATTTTCTACTCAAACAGTCCATAATGGCTACAACCACCAACATTTTAAAAAACCTCTGGAAACATTTTTAGAACAAGTTTACAAACAAATGCAAAAAGATGACTTACATACGAAAAATAAGGCCTTTATTAGAAGTTGCACTACTTTATTCTTCAGTATATTGTACCTTCATCTTCTTTTATTCCTTTTCTTTGACATGAGTCTGCAGTGCTTCATGACTGGTCCACTAAAAAGAGTTGCATCAGCGCCTTTCCACAAATGTTTTCAATCAAAAGGATATGGGAGGAAAAAGCACTTCCTGTGGTCTGTGGATTACTACCAGGAACTCATTACAAAATCTGTCTTCCCTGGTTGAGAGAAAACGTTTCTTAGTTTATGGCTTCTTGTTCAGTCACTGTAAAGATAGGTTACACAAAATACAACGGAGACTGGAAGTCCTGAAGGAGTTAACCAGTTCTAAAGTGTATTCCACAGTGTTCTGCTGTTTCCCAGTTTTCAAAAATCAAGTTATATTTTAAATACTTAATTCATACTAGTTGACAGATTTTTCTTTGTGAAAAAGGTATTGCTCTGAACAGAAACCAAAAATCATGTACCATTCTTGTTTTCTACAACATATGCTTGACTGAAAAGGGTAGGTTTATTTATTTCATTTCATTTTTAGAACTAGCTAACATTTTCAAAAGACAAAATATATACTGCTTGATGTCATACTTTTACAAAGGTATTAAAATCCTTTTCACCTTCAGTTTCATTATTAAAAAACATTAATGATAATTACAATAACTGCATAATTTACAAAAACCCTATATTACTTATAGGGGCATATACATACAAGCATTACAGTACATTCAGTTGGAAAGACTAACAAATTAAGGAAAAAAAATCAGCAATGATTTCTTTTATAGACTGAATACAAACAGAAAGGTAAGTAATTATATAAATGAGAGGTCACATAAATATAAGAAACATTTAATTCTAAAATATTTTCTCTATGGTACTCATGAATTCATTTGCTAATTAAAAACTCTGTAATAAAATATTTCAAAGTGTCCATTTAACAATTATTAACAGATTAAAGATTCCAATGATTTGTAAAATATGGTCTGAGTTCAAAATGCCGCATATCACCGGTAGAAATAGTGTGGGTAAACTGTAAAATAAAACACAAAAAGAAAATCCTTTTACCATCAAAAGACAAAAAACCCAAACCAAAAGAGCAACAACAAACCCAGCAAACATGCAAACATTGCATTCTAAGTTCCTCAGTTAAAATTGCTCATTATTGTGGCATTCATGCACTGAATTACTACTACAGCATGATGTGGACCAAGGCCCACAGGCCAGATCCGCCAGCAGAACCATGTCATCTACCTTGCAGGGGTCTGCAGGGGTCCAAAAATTTGACAGCAGAAGAGTGATGGCAGCAATTGACTCTCCCCTGCCACCAAGTTTCCATACCCATGGGGAGCTGCGTGGGCCAGACAGCATGCTAGATCTGTGCACGGTGGTGGCCCGGGGCCAATCCAGGGATACAGGGTTACTAGTATAGGGTTTCCTTCCAGCTGGAGGTGGGGTGGGTTCCAATCCTGTACCTTGGGGCTAAAGGAAGCGTTGTGGAGCCTGATTCGGCTAGCAGAACAACCCCAAGTCACTCATTCAGCCTGTGCCAGCAAAAGGTGTAGGCAATTATATTGATAATTGATCAATATACACCATTGATATAGGCAATTATATTGGTTTCCTATACTTTTCGGCTGAAATGTCTTCAGGTCACAAGCTAAATACCTTCAACTTATATTTATCAGAAAAAGTGTTTTAACAAAGAAATGTTTTCAAAATACTCAAGTTAAACATCAATGGATCTATCTAATCTAAACTATTCTTTGTCTTTAGGACCTTCATTCTCAACATTCTTTACCAACAAGCTTCATCCTCAGCATTCTACCACACATAAGAATGCCACTGTGGACCAGATCAAACATCCATCTAGCTCACTATCCTGTCTCTGACAGTACAATTATTGGATCCACCGCAAACCCCTCATCATGGGGTGGGGGTGGGG